CTCCCGAAAGTAACTGAGAACCACATTCTCACCGTCCACTTTATTCCGCTCAAACAAGCCTTTGCAGCAATATCGTTTGCGCAGTGGTATCAAGACAGCAATCAGTAAGCCGATGACTATCGTCATTAAGAGGATCAGTCAAGGAATGGTCCGCCTTATACATTAATGAGTCTTGAGACCTAAAGCCATGCGGAACCTCATCGCCCACGCACGGGTAAGGTCTCACAGGGGATATTTCCGTGGCAGTAGCAAGTGGGGAAAGCTTCAATTCGGAGAATATGAAAGAGGAGTCGTGCCATGAATTCTAGCGCTTTGCATACGTTCTGGGAAACACTTTGTTACCCTTGCCCCGAGATACGCCCAAGCAAGAGCACACTCCCTTACCCAATATATTGTGTACGAATCCTGAGGTCTCGCCGAACAGAAGAGTAGAGCCAGCACTCTGGAAATTCGCCAAGAAGAGGATTGCCCAAGAAAGCAGTGAGAAATACCTCATTTACAGGAGGGACAGCCTAGTCAACAACCGCGATGTAAGGTAAATTCTTCGTGATAGTTAAATTCTCTGTGTATAAAGTCACCTATTGCATCTATGGCGATAGGAATTCCGGATCGATCAATTGAAACAGCAGCAGGAATGTCGTTAGAAATATCACGAAATTCAGCTGATTCGAGATTTTTCCAAATAAGCAGGCAAGCACGTCGGGTTTATAAGGTCCACGTGATAATCGTATAAATTAGTTTAGAGGAGCATTTCAGGGAATCTACGATATTTGAAATCACCTCAATCATCAACACTCGAGCGAGCTAGGCCGGCACCTTGTTTGTCCCTCTCGCTTCCGTCCGCGTACGAAGCAGGGTCTTGATAGAAAGGATTCTTCTGGTAACACTGCAAGTACCACCGAGAGGATTATTGAATTACACGGTTCATAAAGCTATATATATTACTGTTCGATAGCCCTTAGTATTTATCAAATAGTTAACTAGTTATAATGTAAAGTTATAACAGCTATAAAATCTGATTCTTTCTTACTTAGTCAACTCCTGCTAACTGGCCTTAGGCATCACCACCGGCCACCGGAGGCCTCGGTCGATTCCGTTCAACAAGGGTTAGCCACGGACTTTCTGTTGGGGGTATTGAATTCATTTTTTTCTGATATAAGAAAGGGTACACAAGTTGACGGCGGATCTGAGGCCGCTTCGACGATGCTTTCGGCCAAGGGAGTACGGCAAGCTACTTGTGCCAATTTGCAATAACCCCATTTTTTATAGTAAACTTATAATATTTTTGTATATTATTACTTTACCGCTTAACAGACTGTTTTTTTAACCGATTCTAATATAAAAACTATATATAAAATTCTCTAATAAAGAATTCTAATATACTAATATCTTCAATTTAAAATATTCTAAGATTCTAATAGCCCTAATACAACTTATAATTATATAATTTTGTTTAAACTAGGCAGCTTGGAAAACTAAAACAGTACTATCGGCAGAATTAGGTTTATTGCAAATTGGCACGAGTAGCCCACCGTAAGGGAGGAACCAGCAGGTCAGGCCCTCGTCTTTCTGCCCAGATAGCTCCATGTAGCTGAATTGATCACACATCCACTTCCTCCTTGACAGCAGGCGCGAAGAGATCCACGTGACCCACCGGATCTCGGGTCCTGCCTTACTCTGCACCTGCCACTATTGTGAGCCGGCAATGATGCAACCGAACGGAATCATGAAGCAATGATGCCATTCTGACCCAAAAGCAAAATGACTCATTTCCCACCAGTTTTGTCCGAAACAGAGGTCTCTCATCACATCCTTCCAAAAACCTCGCACTCATACAAGCCCAGCAGTTCCATACAAAATGACTTGTCTTTCCATGATACCCACGTTCGCGAGAGGCAGTCGCTCCCCCGATTATGAGAGCCAGCCCAACTGTTCGATGTCTAATGCCGAAGCGTCGAGAATATTCCACGTCCCCGAGATTCTAGAAGGTATTCTTCTGGGTCTGGATCTATACACACTATTGATTTCAGCTCGAGTCTGCCACTCATGGAACTCCCTTATCAAATCCTCCCGCAAGATCCAGCAAGCACTGTTCTATATTCCCGTCGAAACGCCGGTGCCACACCACCCACGCACCAAGAACCCGTTCATCACCGACATAATCTGGCCCGAGTTCATCCACCGCCAACTACTCTCATACACCCGACCCGGAACCGCCTGCTGCTTCGAGATCCCCGACATGGCGTCCAAAAAGCGCGAAGCGGCGTATCTCCGGCCCGAGGCCAGCTGGCAGAACATGCTTCTCCAGCAGCCGCCCAACTGCATTGTCCGTCTGTGGAACCCGAGACGTTCCGACGTGCGGTACCGCAATCATAGCGATACCGCCGACAGCCTCGTGCGGTGGAAACCGAAGGGAGACTACCTCCGATTGAAGCATGTGGTATACTACATCGACGCGGGAGCATTTACACCATCCCCTTGGCCGTTCTTATGCTTTGTTAATGGATGGGAACTGCATAGGGTCGTGAGGAAGCCTGAGCGACGCGATAAAATGAAGAGGAGCCCCGATCTCCGGCGGTACTTGGCCAGTTTTGATCTTACTCTCAACACCGCTTCCAAGGGCTGTTGGCCGGTGGTGATTTGCCCCCCTGGCCAACCTCGACGGACGGCCCGTTCGATCAATCTTACTCATTGGTTTGAACGAAAGGATGTGAAGTTACTGGAGAACGAACTATGCTAGCTTAGTTTGTGTTGTTGACCTACTATCATCGCTAATCTTTGTTCGCTTGGCTGGCTCATTTTCCGTATGTTAGAGAGGATTCTGAGATTTCGTGTTCCTTTGTCAGTGTAAGCATGATGTTCCTGAGCTGTGAGCCGTGCTAGCTTGACCTCAATTGTTGTTCGATTAGTACAATCATGAATATCAGTTCTCCTCGAAACTTGCGAATTTTTTGCTCATATATCTGGTTCAAGCTCTGCGAATGGTTACTTACATCCTGTCAACAAAAATCAGCATAAGCAACTCTCGACGAAAGTGGAATATCTAGCTAGAGCAAACATTCAGCCCTTGAAACACCCATGATAATGCGTGACAGAGACTTGAACTCCGGTCATCTGCATCTTGTGTTGGTCCCATGGGTGATTGATGTAACTTGAGGCGACTCATCATTGGGCTCTGTTGGACACCCTAATCATGTCCTACGGCTTCTTACAGTTTTCATTGGATATGCGCTATGAACTACCAAACTTTGTTTCTATTTCAGCTATCTGCTATGGATTAATATCCCAGGTCTCTAGAGATGTTTTGCACTCTGAATCATCCATGTTCCGAGAGTTTGTGGTTTTGCTTCTGGGGCGAGACATTACCGCAAAGGTTGAGCTCACATGGTCTCCGATGCCACTGTCTCAACCAATCAAGGAGCCTCCAATTAAGAGTGAGGGATTTGGATCATTCGCGCGAGCGCATGCTTTTTCAGGGCCCCATTACTACTATATCTGTGATCAAGCCACATCTAACGATGTTGCGGCAACATGCTATGCTTTTTTTTGTAGCTCGCTTTCTAACCGTTGTTCAGATAGCCCACGCACGGCCGTCAACCCGTGGCTCCTACCGCAGCAGGGTGGATCTGAGTGTACGAGCCGAATATGTGAGCTCTGCTGCGATTGCGGCAGGAGACTGGAGAGCGCCTACCTTGCACACCAGAGGACAACAATCTTATCACGGATGTCGAAATTACGACCAAACTGGTCCGCGTCGTCACCACTCTCACCCCTCTTTTCGTCTGGTTGAGGGCCATTACGTTGGGAACAACAGCGTGGCTCATGTCTAGTTCCGCCAGACCGTGCATGGGTTTGACATTGGACCTCGACGCCAACTGGCTTATCACCTACGTTGATGCAAATCAGCATGAGAAGATTCACGGAGTGGTTGGCTATGTAGTCGAGAGCACGAAGGCAGGCTTTGAGATTTAGTGAGTACCAATTCAACTAATCCGTCCTCGCGGAAAATGCATCCATAAGCAAAGCTCATCCCAACAGCCCATCGAGCATCAATGACCATGGCGAAGGGACCCGCAAGACCGTCGAAGACCGTGACCTTTGCATCCTCCCTCCTCACCTGGATCGGCGATGGGAATACGCAGTACCGAACCACCCGGGTCAATGGTGCTGTCGCCCAGGCCAGGAAGGTGTAGACCACGATTATGTGATCTTGGACGCCCAGGACCGATCGGACGTAAACAGCGCCAGTTTTGCCACGCACCCCTACGGAAAGCCCAGGCGGATTGATGTGCCACTGTTTACCCAGTACTTCATGTCGCACCATGCGACTTTCGATGCCGGGTTGGTGATTTATAATCATGGTAGTTGGTTCACATTCTCAGTCCCAGCCCTGATCTGGCGCCCTCTCTCTAATACATTCCCAAAAACGTGTACAGTATCAGACCGCCTCATCGGAGGCCCGAGGCGAAGGAAGATTGCGCGGAGATCTGAGGGGCCTGTCAGTACAGCCTTCTGCATCGGCACTGAGGGGGTAGGGGCTTTGAAAAAAGCCAGAGCGGCTTAAGGGGAGACGCATCAGTTGACCTCAGGGCAAGAACTGAGGAAAGCTCACTAGGAGATAGTGTTTGAATGCTAACATTGAGTCCGCTCTACTGATTCCTGCACTGGAGCTCCTTCTCTCCAAAAACCATATACATCGAGCATAAGGGTACGAATGATTGCCTATCACAAGGAAGGCACCCGGTTGCATTACGCTTCCGTGGCAACAAAATGTGCTTTTGAAATACTAAATCATGTCGTTTTTACGCATTGATCCATCGTGGATGCCGAATTAATCTGGTCATATCGATCACTGCTCCTGCCTACAATCAATCGTTACAGTCGAGTCAAGTATAATATATGCTGCTGCTATTGTAGACTGTAAAAATGAATTCAAACCCCCATTGACGTCTTAAAGAACCTACTATAGCGTTCTGATACCGCTCAAGTCCACCCTCACAATGGCCCCTTTTCACCCATGGCTGAAAGCGAAGTACTGGGCCCGCCGGCTCATGCGGTGGGGTCGCCCCGATCCCGACAATCCGCAGTCGTTCACTATGCAGGAATGGAAAGATCTTGGGGTTGCCGCCGAGGAGGTCGCCCAGCTGATGGATCATGGCTATGTGAGTGTAGCTTTCAACTCGCTCACAATGGCGCAAGTCCAGTTCTACTTTGGCATCCCCCGGGAGCCGTTGCCCATGATTCTACCACCATTGGACACCCCCATACCTGACGCTCTCCGTAAGCCTCGCGAATCTGGTATCATGACAGCGAGAAAACTCATGCCCTTTTTCTGTTCAGTACGGGAGATTTCAATGATAGCGATCGACACCGAAAGGGCAGGCGACAATGAAGCCCGCTCAAGAGCAATGCTGAACGCCATTTTTATGGGCGCCCTTCGATACCGTCGACCTTTGGCCCCAATTGGGGCCCGCAGGATGCGGTTAGGGTTTGAGACGCCACTATCCACCATCTTCAAGGAGGCACCCAGGGTCGTGATAAGCGGCCAATCAGATTATTCCATTTTCTACGATGAGCACGATGATGTGGCGAAGCAGGTCATCATCATCGAGGCGAAGAAGCTCGGTAGCGGACAGGCGGGCTTGCCCCAATTATTGGGGTACCTAGGTAAGCCAACTAGGGCTGTGACCTATCCAGGCTTCTGTCGGTTCTGATATCAGGATAGGCTCAGTCCAATTCTCCCGTCGGTCAGACGGAAGAGCAAAAGCCCCGCTCTTCGGAGTCTTGACCGACTCCGAAGAGTTTGTTTTTATCGTTCTCCATGAAAACATGAAGGTTAGTGAACTATCTTGTCTAGTCCATCTAGCTTAATCAGTGACTAACTAGGTTTCTAGTACTCAAAAAAAACCTTCCACTGGAAGGAAGGGGATGCGCAGAGAATCTGGAGTTTGCTCGTATACATGATTAAAACAATGGAAATCAGGAGCCGGGAGCCATCAGACGAAGACCAGATGCTCCAGTGATAGTTAGAATGTATCTAGTTACTTCGAAAATCATCAACAAAATATAATTATTATGATGACACCACAAACACGTACTCATTATCTCCCAACTACTCTGGTGTTTCTGATCATCGCAATCGAGCCCCAAGAGACTAGGTAGGTAGTACGTATTAGGTGATCACAGAACAGCCCCCATTCTGTGGACTGCTAACAGAGCACCCTAGCCCTTCAGCTTTTGCGGGGCAAGGGTTGAGGGTTTTCGACGCGTTGTGTCTTAGCCGCGGTGTGCTTATGCTTATAGCAATCAAATTCTCGTTATGTGGTCTTGTGCTCTTGCCGTGCTGCTGCTATTTTGCATTGCCTTGTGCTCTTCTGAGCAGCATTACTATCTTGCCTTGTTTCTATTGCTGATTCATGCGTTGTCTTTTGACGCACTCGAGGGCGAGCGAACTGTTAAGGGAGGGGGGGGGGGTCTGTCATGTCATAGCAGTAAGCAAGCAGACTACTACTAGGTACCTTAATTAGGAGAAATCTTCGGGACTCCAACCACCAATAGAACAATATTCTCGCTCATAATGTTTTCCCTCCAAATGCTACCATGTAGTGAGTAGGTTGGTGTATGTTTGTATGAGGTCGATCGAACGAAACCACTAATTACGCGTACATATATGTCCTCTGTATACATCCCTTCTGCATTGATGCATTTGATATGTAGACACTTCCCCTGATTGAGCCCCGAGGAATCCAGACAAGTATCGTGTATTTGGGCGGTTAAATAATAGCCCCCATCAGCGCAACCGCCGCGCCTCCAAAGACCAATCCCGCACCCCCAGTCATTCGCGGAACACCCCCGGTTGAAGTCTTGGTCGCCGCAGCATCACCGTTCCCATCTGCACTGGCAGTAGCCGTAGGAGCCGACGTGATATCGGAGCTCGTCAGCTCCTGGGATGCACTAGCCATCTCCGTTGACAGGCTCGCATGCGCCAGGGTAGTGCTCGTCGCGCTCGCTGTCTCAGAAACCCGCCCGCTCCCGCCAGTAACCGCCCCAGCGGTTACGGTGGCCGACAGGAAGTTCGTGAAGTAGATATCGATCCCCTGGTCTTGGCCGCTCAGCGTCCGGTGACAGACGCCCTCCGTCGTGCCATCTGCGGTACAGGCCCATGTAGTAGAACTGGAATCGAGGAATAATATCAGCATGTTTCGAAAATACCAACAATCATAGACAACGCAGCCTGTCGAACTTTAAAAAAGAAAAAAAAACAAGGTGGGACCGAGGGGGTGGTATCCATACTATTGTCGACGCCACCACGCATACGTGCTCTGGTCAACGATCTCCGCGGTGATCCCCGCGCCGCCGATGGAGCAGGCGGACCCCCGCACGGAGGTGGGGCAGGCGAGGCTGTAGGTTGTTGCTGTTGCGTCCTGTATATATACCGGGTTAACGGTTGATTTGATGTTTCTTGTTTTTGCTTGTTGGGTGCTATGTATATGCTGGGGTGAGAGGGCTTACATGGCCCACGATCGACGCCTCGTAGTCCTGATCGCGATCCACGGCCCACAGGAGCATGGAGACGACCTCCTCGGCGACGGTAAGGCCGGCCAATGCGGGGAGGAGGGTGAGTGCGAGCTTCATGCTGGCTGGACTTTCGCACTGTGGGGAGCTAGTAATGAACGAATGGAAGTGGAAAAGAAAAGTGTAAAGAGTGGATTCGCAGCGGTAGGAAACGAGTGGAGTTGGGATTGCGGACGCTCAACCGGACAATCTTAACCGCTACAGTTATAGGGGAAGCAAGGGGTTCAAGTACTCTATCGAGATGTGGTTTCTAAGTCCCCAAAACCCTTGGCAGAGTACTCCGTAACTTCAAACGAATCATGGCGAGCACGAGCGGAGCGAACCTTGGCCCCGGCTCGATTCAGGGGTTCCTGCCGGATCCGGTTAACGATAAGGCTGTGAGGATGAGTGGCGAAGTAGCCTAAAGTCTCAGTCAGGTCGTCATTGGAAAGGGCAACATTGCTTGCAGGTTAGTGTGGATTAAATGTGGGTTCTCGTCGGGTTTGAAGATCTTGGCGGGATTAGCGTTGCCCGTAATTCTGGGCATGTCATGATCAGACAGGAGAGTATTACCAACCACACTTCCTGGTTAGCGGTGATTATCATTTCGCACATACTCCTTACAATAGCTTGGAATTTCGGTTCGTTCACCGAGAGGCTGTAAGTTTCAGGCTTCTATTGCGGTTGGGGTTCAACTCTGTCAAGAAGAAGCAAAGAGGTCAGAATGCTATAACATTGACATCATTCCAACAAGATCCGATGTGGTGTAATGGCTAACATCGCTGTCTCTCATTGAGATATCACAGCAGCTCGGGGTTCGATTCCCCGCATCGGAGTTCACTTTTTGAACTATGTTTTGTCATAGTCAGTCTACGGAGTACCTAGCCTGCCTTTTGTGTTTTTTCTTATTTACTTCTTCGTATCTACTTCAATCCCGGTTAGTTAAGCTAGTGAGAGGAAGTTCAGCTCCCGCTGTGCCTGGTAGATTCAGGGCCTGATGCCGCGCGTTTCCACCGCCACTCTGCAGGTAGGATTTTCAAATTCCGACTCCAAATCCTTCGCAAATGATTGAACTTAATCGTGAACCAAATTATAGAGGGCCAGGGCATTCCGTTCAACTGGCATAGGGCTGGTACTATGCCTCAGGCACTAAGAAAAGTGGGGCTATCATTTAGTTTCGAGTACATCTGTACAACAACAGCCGCGGTGGTGTAGTGGTATTAACATTGCAGAGCCCCCGTACTAGCCTTATGCTAGCGGTGTGGAGTGCAGATTCTGGTCGAGTCCCAGTCGCGGCATTCTCTTTTTCTTTTTGCTGTTCCCTAAAGCGTGGGCGTCATGAGGATGTCATTTGTTATGCAATCCTGCTGTCACATGGAGGGGGAAGCCTGGGGGGGCGTCATCGGTAGGGCGGGTTGGCGGGGGCCGTGATGGACAGTCGTACTAGTAGTTTCCCGCAAGGGGCGCCACGGTAAAATCTCGGAAAATAAAACATTACACCCGGTGTGAGGCAGCTCTAGATAGCAGGGATGACTATGTGTCCAGGTTGAGTGAGAGCAGAGAAAGGTTTATGGTTATCGCATATCTCCAATAGTAATTGGAGGGGCTACATGAGCGTCATGCTAAGCATCACCGGCAGCTTGGCAGGGTGGACAACGAAGCTCCATCAGCGGTACAAGTTAACACCAACCCTCCCATGGGACCAACCCACGATACAGCTGACCAGGGCTCGGGTTTTTGGTAGATGTTATCCCGGTTGGACTACGAGCTGGTCATTGGGCTACACGAAAAGGAGAGAGAGAGAGAAAAAAAAGAAAAAAGAAAGCCCTGCTCAGTCCAACATAATGCTTGGAGAAGGAAGAGGAGGCTAAGTGGAGAGAACAGTGCAAGAGACGTGAGAATTCTTCCAACTTCTTTACTTCGACATGGGCTCCCACTATCACTACTTCTTCAGCCAGTTCGACCGCCTCACAACCGCCTCACTCTCAGCACTTATGCGAAAGGTTGTGCCAACAGGCAACCCAAACCTCCGCGCAATCCTCACGCGCCTCCGGCTCCGCGAGACATCCGGACAGTCGTGGAAGTGCTCCGGCATATCCTGAACCAAGAACGCCCGATCGATATCTTTACTCCCGGGAGCGCGCGTCGTCCCCCATGCCTCGTTGTAGTCCTCCAACGCGGTTGAGACGCCGGACTGTGTCGTCGGCTTCGTGTGCTCCCAGTATTTGAGACACCCCAAGCAGTACACCCCGGTCTCGACCGAGCGAGAGACCGGGTCGTAGTATGGGAACGCCACCGTCGCCGAAAGCCGCCATGGAGAGCCCCAGTACTCCGAGTATCTCGACGGGGAGGGTGTCCGGCTGCGGTCGCGCCTCCGGCGGGCTCGCCAGCGTCCCGCCCGGGGGGTATTCAGCTGCAGGGCCAGGGCTTTGGCCTGGGCCATGCTGACCAGCATCTTCTCCTGGTAGGCCCATCCGGTGAAATCGAGGGTCCGGATGACGGGAAGACGGTGCCAATCGTTGTCGAGCGAGAGGCCGTACCTCTGGAACACGGCCTCGATCGGGGCCATGCAGTACTGCCGGTGGGTGCGCCTGCAGGCGAAGCACGAGCAGGAGCAGGTCGGGATGTACAGGAAGGGGCCGAAGTCGCCGCAGGTGCGGCACCGCGGATGACGGGGTTCCTGGTAGAGCTGCCCCAGCGAGAAATGGTGGGTGCACTGGGTGAGGTCCAGTAGTCGGAGGATGTCGGCTGCATGCGTGTGGAGAAGGTGGTATTCTGGCAGGGAGTCGATTATCTGTTTGGTGGTCTTGTTGACGGACCGAAGATGGCTGAGGCTCAGCATGTCTAGGTCGAGGAGGATCATTCGGATGATCTCTAGCGGTAGGAGGATCATTCGGATGATCTCTAGCGGTAGGAGGATCCATGATAGTTCTTGCTGCTGCTGCTGCTGCTTCGGGAGAGAAGATGAAGCAGTTGGCTGGTTGCATGGCTGCTCTTGCCGTTGGGCCTGTTGATGCTCTAGGATTTCTTTTCGATAACGTTTTACTGCGCGTCGGAAAGGCGCCCTTGGGACCGAGCAAAGATTGAGGACGTTCCTGCCGGGCTCCTCCACGCGATAGGCCAGCCCAGATGACACTTTGGAGTAGAAATTGGTAGATCACTGCAGTGCAGTGGCGTGTCCACCTTCGAGAGACCCATGCTCATATACTCATATAAGAGCTAGTTGTGTGATAATTGGATGAGACCTGAGTGAGCTCATATGCGGGGTCTCTCGGTACTGATGGCCGTGCGGATGACAAACCCGGCACCGGTGGGGTACATACTGTACGATTACCTTACTGTAGGTCACCTGTGTATGAATTGACTTTAAAACAGGTATATTTGAATAAAGCCATTCTGATTCTCAATGGGCTGACTCTTCATCTGAGCCAAGAACATCATCCTCAACCTCCCTTGTCTTATTCCTGTCCTTGTTCCTCTTCCTCCTCCTCTTCCATCTTCTCGTGGTCCTCGTCATTCCCAGACAACCATCGTCGTCTCCGAGGACCAGCCATAATCACCGCCCCTCTGCCCACCAAGTGCTCGGCGCAATAATGGCCTTTCGCCCTCAGCGCAGGGAGGAGCGATTACCATAGACCTTGGATCGAGAGGTATCTTGCTTCACAAGAAGGGTTTCACGCTGCCAGCTGCAAATCGAATGTCCGCTCGGGTTTCTATAAGTTTGGGGATCCTCCGCGCCCTTTCCAGATTATGTTAACGAAGTACAGGCTCGGACCTATTCCCTTTCCGTGAAAGCGTACTAGGAAGTCACATCGATTCGGCCGGATTATCGGCAACATATCTGCGTCTGACCGATCGCTTGACACCCAGTTTTGTCATCTTTGGAGCTCATTTCTCCATTGGCTATGTGTATTGAAGCTTCGGAAAAAATGTTAGATAGTTTTTAGAATCAAAATCCATAGCAGAATAAGTTCTGTTCTAATTATCAATCATAAACAGCTGGCCAACTCAGAATGCAAAGCTAGCCAATCTTCTAGTATAGAGCCTGAGTATAGTGAAGCAGATGGACGCCCTGTTTTTTATCCATTAGGTTGTGTATTCGGGAATTCATCTGCTTTATAGGCTTACAATCTTGCTATTCTCATAATGACTTTGCAAAAGCTTGATGCGTCGTCTAAGCAGCCTGTACGCATTGCCTCTATATAGAGAATCCCCCGGGGTGGCGAGTGCAGGGCAAATGACCCAGCCCTACCGCCGTATAATGGTGTCTAAACGGCACCACGTCACAGCCCGTTCAACTCCCTGGCAGCCATTTCTAACAGACTCTCATCTCCGGGCACGTTCTGGGTATAGCGCGAGTTGAAGCGGATCAAGCGCTTGACGTGGTTGTAATGCCGGACATCCAAGGACAGGGGCTCCGCGCTAACAAACCACGACACCCTTTCGCTGCAGGGCGTGGTGGTCGGCGAGCCTCCGTAGGCTTAGACGTCGTAGCCGTGGAAATGTTCCGTCAGGTCGGAGAAGTCCAGGGACTTGATCTCCGTCGCGGACCCGGGCTCACTGATCGCCTCGACGTCGGCGAACACGGAGCTGAAGAGTGAATCGCAGTCTCCGGTTTCGGAGAGCTGGAAGACGAAGCCGATGACGGCGATCCCGTTGGCTTATAACCACTCCATGAGCACACAACCCAAATGCTTTATGGGTAGTGGGTGGGGACGGGTTTGACTCACTCGCGTCCGTGAACACGAAGTGCACCTCTAGCGGGTAGTGCTCCTCGTCGAGGCGGTGCTCGGAAGGGGTCTGGAAGTGGAAGTGCGCCAGCGTGTATGGCTTGCCCTGGGCCGTCAGAGCGCGGTTGGGGAGCATGACTTCGAGCGTGTATCCTAGGTTCTCGAACTCGACACGGCCGGCCTCGGGAATGCCCAGAGACACCGTACTGGGATCAATCAGGGTGGCAGTCTTTGAGTCGATCGCGATGGGGGACTGCTGTGTGCCCAGGTCACAGGCCGCGTTCGTCTGCGATTCGAGCCCGTATCAAGTCAGGGGGCCCTGGGCGCCCGAGTATCCAAAGCTCGGAGTCCCCGCTTGCGCGGCACTGCGAGCCAAGTGCAGGTAAGCCGCGCTAAGGGTAGGATGGCAAGGAATCGCTTTTTGGGGGGGGGGGGGGGGGGGGGGGGGGTGGTTTCGAAAAAAAAAAAAAAAAAAAAAAAAAAAAAAAAAAAAGTGCGCGCGAGAGTCTGTCGACGCTATGGGGCTTTTCTTCTGCACTCTGCTGCGTGTTCATGTTTTACCTGACATGTTGCCGGCATGGTAGGCTGTGTCGAGACTTGAGCCATAGACCGGCTGTGGATAAATGCAGATCGATGTCTTGGCACTCCCTATCTCCATTTCATGTTGTTGGCGATCTATTCCAAGAATTTAGTATGACATTGTTTCTGGGCGAAAATCCCCAAAGCAGGACAAAAGCCTTTGTGCCGGTCAGCGACCGACTGTCGACAGATATTATACGTGAACTGCCAAAGAGAATCACGCATTCAAAGTCAAACTAAGGTTATGGCATAGGCTCCTGACGTTGATAATTTCCCAGCACGTGGATTCGAATCCCCATCCCTGGGCATTAGACTACTGAGTCTTCGGGGTCTTGATAAGGCCAAAGCTTGGAGTACAACGCCCTCTCCTTGTCATTCTCAGCCGTTCCCAGAAAGACTTGCTTGAATTTGCGACTATCTTCCACGGCGGTTTCATAGTCCTTGGGATCGACCACGCCATCGACGGGAAGCACCCCCTGATCTCGAAACAAAGTAAGAACCTGTCCAATGCCATCCATATTGGTTTCCTCTTCCGCGTGAAGCTCGATCTCCTTCTGTGTGAACGTGATCGGACAAGGTGTTGGGCCGTCCGCGAACAGATCCTCCCAGAGGTTGACCAGCAAAAGGAGCGATTGGCGCAAAAAGAACAGGTCTCTATTCTCCCACACTCCAGTCACCAGCCAGGCGGGTTTTCGGATGATCGGAATCGTTTTCTGCTCAAGGACAGCCCAGTGTCGCGGGGCGCGCTTGTAGACCAGCGCTTCGTAGTATTTATGAATGATCTGGCTCTCATGATCACTAGCTAGCTTATCCTGTTCCTCCGCACTGAGGGTGTCAAAGTTCTCGGGGCGTTCGGGGACAGCCCAGCCTTCTTGGACAGGTCCAGGATGTCGGAACATCCTTGGGACATAAGACTGATAGAACAGAGGAGCCACGCATGCTGACTGCCAGTCTATAATATCGGTAATGGTGTGCGTAAGCGGGTCCACAAATACATTGTCCAGGTGAAGGTCGGGATGCCAGAGGACGTTAGAGCTGGCAGCCCCATCAGTGGAGGAAGGGACCTGGAACGGAGCGACTTTCATGTACTGGTCGAGAAGGTGAAGGCCGTCCATTGGAAGCTCGGGATCCGATGCAGATCTATAATAATTCATCCGCGGGCGCGCATGCTTCTTGATCCATACTGTCTCATTACGACCCAATGCCTGTGTGTACTCAGATGAATTATGCCCTGTACGTAAGACGGTTAGCGAATGTTCTACAAGGGAGGTAGATATTGGTCCACTGACACGGCCCACGGTCTAACTCCATGTCACCTCTAGTGCCATTCCACAGCGCGGGCGAAGTGAGGGGGCCTATGGCAAAGCGCTGTAGCACTTCGTCGGCACTTGAGTCATCATTCGGCTTTTCCACCCGTCCAGTGAGTGAACGGAGATCCTCCTTAAAATAGATACAACCATGCTTAGGAAAGGTCGTTGTGGTCAGCTTATTCTCTAGATCTACTACTTGCTCGATCAACTTGAGCTTTGTCCTTCGTGGCCATTGGCTCCAGACAGAGCCCAGTCGCACACCAGCGGCCTTCTCCTCAATGATATACTTCGCCTCAACAGGAGTGCTAGCTGCATCTGAAGACCATGCGAGGATCCGTGGAGTTGGGATGTTGAAGTAGTCACGTAACTGTGCGGATAAGCTATGCTTGCCAGAAAGATACATGGGATGCGCGTCTTACCAGCTGGCGTGTGGCTACTTCTGAGGCGGTGGTGTATTGGGCTGGTCCTGCATTAGGGTTCGGGAGCTTGGCCACGACTTCAGCTCCATTGTCCATCATCAATAGAAATGCCTTGTTATGTAGGCCCTCTAAACATTTGATGATCTTGGTGCCTGGAAAAAATGATGAATAAGCTTTACTTGACGACGACTGTCTGGGTGGTAGAACTAACAGTGCCGAGCGCCATTGCTGACATTGACGGCAATGTCAATGAGCTGCCTCAAATTGAACTTCAGGTATCGCTTTGAGAGCTCGCGCTGTTCATTGAAGCTAGAATACTTTAGTGGTAAGTGACAATCTACATCTTGAGGGGGTACTCTCTTATCTCTTACAGCCATCGGTGTCTGGTGTATCGATACAGATTCTCTTCCGGGATGCTCTCATCTAACCCACCTATGTCAGCCACCAAGATATGTAGTCGAAATCAGCCTCTTCCATGGGAATTATACGTATTCCGTTTGCCCTTTCGATGAATAACTTTGGTAGTCTTGAGTCCGACCGCAGTCCAGCCGAACAATGTACCGAGACAAATCTTGTCATTCGTGACTGCCGGAATGAGGCTTTTGAATTGAGACCCAGGAGAGTACGACTTGGGAGCAGTCGCAAACAATGATGCATGCCGATCCTGAGCTCTTCCGAGAAACTGTCTCCAAGAAGGTTAGGCTGGCAGTAGGGACAATTGTGGAGAAATAAGGGAATTATCTGACACGTTGTCACACCCTTGACTGCCTGCCTGTAGGCTCCGTTGCTCGGGCAACCGCTCGTCTCACAAAAGCTCTTCGGTGCACTGATCTGTTCCCATGGATTGATGTATACCTATAAGATACGTCCATTTCTATTTTTGCGTCAATTTTGCGGCAACTCTCATTACCCCTTTACTTCCTTTCATTCCAGGCCATACTCTCTTCAAAATACAGTCACCGCATCATCAGTTAGCCTCAATATCTTGAGCAGATTCGTTTCATCATGCCAGTGGCATCTAACAACATACACCGCCCAGAACTGACAGCCTAGACAATCATATCGTTACGCCGCTAAATCATCCATAGGTGCGCGCGAGCTTAAGCTGGTTATACTCCAACGTGGTCAAGCCATCCGTGTACTCCGGCGTGGCCCCGGGCCGCACAAACTCAGGCAGCGTATCCACCAGCACATGGCGATCGGGTTTCCCGAAGTACGCCACCGAGTACCGTCGGGGTAGCATCGCATTCTCATCGTCCTCCTCCGCTGCACCCTTTGCCTCTGGCAAGGTGACGCGGTGGTTGGCCGATCGCAGCGCTCTGTTTGTCCACCGCTGCAGACAGTCCCCAACGTTGACGATCACCTCGTAGACATTCTCCGATTCAATGGGGATAAACTGCCCCAGTGTCCCGTCGCGCTGATCCTCAACCTGCAGACCGCCCACAGAATCCTGAAGAAGCAACGTCAGGGTGCCGAAATCGGAGTGTTCCCCGATGCGCATACCGCCGCCGGCGCGCATCGTGCGCCGCGGGATAGCCGGGTAGTGCAGCAGGCGCAGCTCGCTGGTGTTGCACTGGTGCTTGCTGAGCAGGTAGTGGTCATCGATAGACAAGCCGAGCCCGACTGTGATGGCGCGCAGAAGGTGGGTGTGCAGCTCGTCGAAGCGGTTGTAGACGTCCTCCATGAACGCGCGGAAGCCTAGGAGATCTATCTCATCCGGCCAGCGGTTGGGAAAGAGGGTGTCGCTAGCGGCGCCTTGGTCGAAGGATTCCTATCTGGTGTGAGTTGAGTCAAACATGATATAATGCGTTTGATTGGGCTATTAGAAAGGGAACTCCACTTGATTGAAGGGAATCATACTCGATACTCCTGGTAGCCATCATTCAGCTTCTTCCCTTGCTCATCGTCCCTCGTACCCTTCAAGGTCTCTTTCCCCACTGCGCTCCATCCGCGATGAGGATTCGGGGCTTCTGGATGTGCCGCTTTGGCTTTACTTGAGTTGGGCAGGTCGAAAAAGCGTTTATTCTTTCGTTGGGTGCATTCGTTCCAAGTCAGCGTTTTCGTTTCTGCCATGCTGTTTGTTGCTACAATGCAACCCAAAACTCACAAATTCAAATAATCGGTCAATCGTCTCCCGGGGAAGGGACGAGTTCCGAATCTTGGCGAACCCGTACACCGAAAGCGTCTCACATAAGTCCTCACTGAATCGTTGCCGCTCCTGCGCGTTGTCGCTGCAATACAGCCGGAAGTCTAAAGATTTGATAGGCATGATGGCGTTTAACTTGAACTCAAAACCCGTGTTGCGCGTACCCGGGAACGGCAGAATTGGAAAAGCGACTGTTTCGAGAAGGGACGCGGTTTATGTAGGGCTGTGTGTCTCTCCCGGCGGGTGACTGGTCAACATGATATGTATGCTTCGGTGGAGCAGTATCACAACACCGACTTATAGGTCATACCAGCACCCCCCAACTTTTCTCGACCGACGACCAAACATGAGTGATTCTTGATGAGGTCATGGGATGTTTGGTTTGCAAAACTGTTGAGATTATATTACTTTTTCCTGATCCGGTGCCTCCATTCGCTCGCTTCGGGGTCTGTTTGCTTCACGGGTTGCTTCCCGCATGTGATCCTGGGATCTTATTGGTTTGGGCGCTAGATCACTTTCCGCGGACAGATTTTTTCAATTGACTGGGATAGATTCTGTCCTGAGGATGATCTTCAAGAGCTGTTTTTGTGGCTCTTCACAGCGTGACAGAATGGTGGCTGCAAGTTGCAGGAAGCCCCCACAGGTCTGGCCAGGCTAAGCCTGTTTTGTACAAGCGCCGCTTGAAATCATCTGAACCCTAATCGAGGGATCTCATAGGACATTGTGCCATGGCAAGAGGGTTGAAAATAAGCTTAATGATTTAGAGTTGATTGCCCCTGTGTTTCTTGTTTATGTTTCTCTTGCTTGAAATTAGACCTTCCAAGGTTGGAAGAACGAGTCATACATGCTTGATGCCGCGTCCATCACACGTTCACATATTCGTTCCTCGAACATTTGCTCACAGATTCCTGCGGTCCTCAAATTAGTTCCAGTTGTTGTTTCAATCTAAATGCCATGGCCCCAAGTAGTCTCGCTTGTATTCTTTCTCGCACCACTCACTGCGGTTCAACTCAGTTCAGTACTAATCACCTATTTAAGCCCCGCTGTACAGCTAGCTATGTAGGCGTTGTCCCGAAGCGAGAACACGCCTGGAATCATTCACAAGTTGTCGAGAGACCCGGCAAAGGCTCCACAGTTCAAACGGTTTCATGGTACCGCTATTGTGCTCAATCGCGTGCTTTTCGAATGCTTGCGTACTATGGCACTCATCATTTCATCCTAACAACAATATCTCCCCATCAATCTTTACCCGTGCTCGCCCGTCAATCCTCGGGCCGCGAGGAATCTACTTGACATCCTCTCAGCTTTGACCATGCTTATATAGCCCTTTTACTTGGCACTTGCTTAGTCTGGATGACATAGGACGCTCCCTGTCATGAGACCATGCGCACTCGAGATCAGTCGGGCGATATTATATTATACCATTTTACCAAGTCAAAATACAGAGAGGAATCTGCCTCAGACGCGAACCATGGAAGATACTCAAATATCTTTCTACCTCATAATGCATGTGGGAATCATACGCGCGACCACCTTCATGAGAAGTTGACTGCCAAGAGACCAGTGCACTGATTCACAAGCCATACAATCAGCTTTGCAGGCCGAACGTCAGATTTAACCCTGATTTAATTATCTTTGGGGGCAATGATAATCCATAAGGCCGAAGTGACAATACTCTTGAAATACTATACCGCGAGACTGATCTGTTCTAAGCACAACAAGTCACCACTCGGAAAAGGCCCATTTTGAGGGAGACGCCAATGACCTTCTGACAGGACAAAAGTTGATGGCAATCAATACATCAGTGCAGCCGTGTTTCTGTCAGCGTATGGTTCGACAGAAAAAGGATCCGAGTGAAAGAGCGGATTCCCCAAGCTATTTGCGCTCGAGGGAATTCAATCGGGTCTAGGTACTAGGTAGCAGTTGCTTCCCTACAGGATCGCACGCGAAGGTGAGCCTCATTTGAAACTCGGACCCCGGTTCTTTTCACCCCGGTTCTTTTCACCCCGGTTCTTTTCACCCCGTTTCTTTTCACCCCGTTTCTTTTCACCCCGTTTCCTTGTCGAAAGCATCGTCATTTCGAAGACTCTCCCATTCCAGAAATCGACTCACTTTTTTGGAAGCGAAGTGAATGGCTGCATGTTCAAGCCCCTTGATAACTGGAAATACAAATTCCAGCAAGCCGATATGAACCCCCCCCCTCTACTGATTGCGTCAGCCGTTGCACTGGTGATTGCAGTCACCAAGGAAGGCTTCCCCTGGACAATTCTTGTTGTTCGATCATCTCCCCCCGGACTTCAGACCTTTTCATCGTCAATCGGGCCTGCCATAATCGTTGTCTGCGAGTGAAAAGCCCGCTCCGAGCTACAGTGAGTCCGTACAAACATTGGAGTATCTCGGTGCGAGGGCTGATACACATGAGTAATATAGTGTCCATCTCTCCACGACCACCGGTACACATCCGTCCAGACATTCCACACAGGAATTGGCCTGCATAACCAAATTGATACACCACTGTTGTATGATTCGTGATACCTCAGAAAGACTATTTGGTATTGATGAGGCTTAGACCGTGATCTCAGCCCATCCGAGACCTTGAGTCCGGGGACACCCCACCCAGCAGTGGCACGGAATCAGAGGGAGGAAGATTGTGTCGAGACACGCGAGGAAAGATGTCCTGCTTTGCGCCTGCTGAAACTGGTGGAAATGTGTAATCAAGCTATGGATCTAAATTTCACAAGGTTGCCCCTTACTTCCAAGCCCAGCGCGTGGGTCCACATTGCGTACCTTATGTCAGAGTGTCAGGTTGATCGTATCAGTCTGCTTGTGCGGGTTTAGCAAGCGATGTCTCCTACTGGGACACTCTCTTGCTAATAGGCTGTTGAGTCACGAACACTATAAAATCTCAATACAATCCTTTATACCCATTGTCTAGCTAGCTATGTCATCCTGCCTCTGCATAGCCTGCCTCCCTCCCCCCCCCCCCCCCCCCCCCGGGCGCGCCCGCAAGGCCATCTCTTCTTTCTGGCTCTATCTAGC